GAACGTACGTGGACAAAAGCAGATTATATGAGCAAAGCCCGGTACGCCTTAAGAGACCAATGAAGCGTCTAGCCGTCGAAATGGTTTCATTGAATTGTAGGATTGCTGATGACAGAAATGCAATTGCTGGTATGATCATCAGACGCTATCAACGATGATTATCGAGCTTAGAACGGGCCTCGGATTTATGATTAAATCATCAGTTGTGAACAGCTGGGTCTGGTTGGTGGAGAGGGCAGTAGATTGAAGGTTTTGGCTAAGGCCGGCAGATATAGAGATGCATAAATGGACATAGAGTCGGTTCATAGGAAAGAAAATTCCAAGTTCAGAATCGGGGAATTTCTTGGCAGCTGTATAAAAATGTTGGTAAGGCAATATGCCTTAAAATTCCGCTTAATGTGCCTAAATACGTTTAGCCAGGTATACCCCCGGCCTATACTCGCCATCGGTGTGGGCGGCCACCCTTATATGTATTTATAATAATTTATTGTGGCCCTAAGATGTCGAAATACACATTTATCTTCGAGGGCTGCACGAATGGTACAAATCACCTATCAAAAGTAGGCGTGTACGCACTTATTTAGCAACAATTATATCTAAGTAGGCTAGCTTGTGGAAGTGATTCGGTTGGTACTCACTCTGTCCGATATTATAGAGCAACTTTTCCGACTTTACTAACAAGGAACTCATGGTAAACTTTAAGCTTCTGCTTTGACTTCCGCATCAGCAAAATGGAGTAAATGTCGTACAATTCGAAATAAAACAAAAGAAGTTACTATAATGCTTAGCAATTAGACGAAAGAGCTAAGGTCTGGAGCTAGAATGAATCGTTTCTAGAAGTGACGGTTAGATTTTTTAATTGTTCTCGCATATCATGGCATGTATTTTTTGCATCATTTTTCCTTAATATAGGAAAAATACATATATTCATGATAGCTTGGTGTTAGTTTAATGCCAAGGATTAGGCGGCTGCATACGGTCTTGTTTTCTTTAAAGCTACCATAAAAGCTTTTTTTACCGCAGGTTCTTTGATGTAAAAACACGGGACACGAAAGATATTCTCATCAGCTTTACCTCTATTGTTTCTGCTATTATAATTGATTTGCTTTTTGTGTATCGGCTGCCTGTGTAATAAACATTGCTTTGGGTAAATCACAGGTCGAAATTCTAGCCTGAAAACTAAGTAAGTATTATATTACCTGAAGCATATAGCTGGACATGTTCTACTGCTTCAACTAAATGAATAAAATTAATACAGTTATTTTTGATCAAATTAGCTTTCAGCATCGTAAAAATTGCACAGTTTATACAAGCTTTTTCTGACGTATACTTGTCAACTAAATGTTTTATCTGCGTAAATTTGCTGATTTGCTAGAAAATTAAAAAAAAGATTTCTGAATTATTTATCTTTTAAAAAAGCTTCCTAGAGAAACTTATAGCTCAAAACGACTGGGATCAAAAAGCGTGAATCGAAATCCATTATAATAATGTAGAAAAAGAATTAGCATCTAAATTAGTTTTTTCGATATTATTCTTAGTCCTACTTTACGCCAACTACCTGTGTACTCAGGAATTAATTCGACCAACATTCGTCGCATGGCCTTAAACGGTTTTATTCCCTCTTGGTAGAAATTTATAAGGCCGAATGAAGGCATATTGAAAAACATATATAAAACTAAAACCGTACTTAGTCATACATAGGTAAAATTGTATTTACTCATGTATATTCGATTCTTGGACGTAAACCGCATCGCGCAAATCGTGCCAACGTATGTATCACGATTAAAATCGCCGATATGTAGGCCAGGGTCTCACACATCTGGGATTGAGGCTGTATTGTCATGCGAAACAAGTTAAAGCTAGACGGCTATTTCAAAGTTTTACTATATTCTTAATTTACTATATTTTAACCTTTCATGACGTTTAGTAAGTTTGCTACATATAGCAACATACTTATAATAATATTCTCTGTTGGACAATCGTATTCCTAAACATAAGCCACGTGACAGATCCTAATAGCACCGTATCATCACTTTACTTTAAGGACAAGTTAATTTATGCCCTAGGGATTATACCTTTTATCAACCCGATCATATTAAAGAATAACTGCACGTAAATATATATGCATATTTATTATTTAAGTTAATGTCAGAATCGCATTCGGTGTCGTTCTAGGTGTGAAGCACGGTATCTTTAGCCTTGAGATCCAATCGACACTGGCAGGAACAGGAACTTAGGACTATTTCACACTGAACCTTCTTATCATGCTTGCTTACCAAACATATCTCGAGCTACGATGAGTAGTAGTTACTTTTGATCGAGCAATCCTTCCAATAGTCTTTGTCAGACAGCCAACCAACGTACTTAATAACGCACCTCTGAGAGGTGTGGTCATGAGTTTAGATCACTGCTAAGAAATCATATTCGTATGCTTAAAAGAAACTACTAAGCCGCAAACATTTAATAAAAACTGCATTGCCTTAGAGATTATTATAGATTGACTATTCCAATAATAACTCATCCCGCTTGTCTACCGAACTTAGTGGTGCATAAGGTATCCAGGCTCGAAATTGCCGCCTGGAGCAATGCTTAACGGCAGTACTAAACGTAAAACTTGCAATTTTTATTTACTAGGCTCGAAACGGAGTTTCGTGCCAGCTCTTTAATGCCCTGTTGCTATTAATTACTTCTGGGCACGTAATGGACGAAAAACCCGAAATAGTAACCTAATGGGTTAACGAAATATCTGGTCGTTTCCACAAGACGTTAAGCAGTAACAATACGTCAATAGGCTACCAATACTCGTTGTTTACCGTAGAAATGAAAACATATTGTCGTTGAGACCTATGTTGCTTCACAAAACCCAACTCATCTGTGACTTTTTGTAGTCTATTTGCGCCAAGTCTAACTGTGTGTCTCTTTTGAGCGTGAAACCAACCCAGACGGACGCTTCTGACATATGCTGAAATGCCGCAATGTCTTAGCAGCTGGGGAGAATTCGATGCACTAACGCTGGCTGATATTCCTTGCACCTTGAAGCTGTTTACAATGAGGTGCAGCATTTTCATCGTTGCGGACTGTTTACTATTAATAACAGCGTTTGAAGAAGAGCTTCACGAGTATTTTAGCTTGAGCGGCCGGTGTGATCTTATAGTCTACAATAAGTTGTTGACAATTAACGGGTATTATCGCAAAGTTAACCTAGAGGTGCTCCTTCACGTTTCTATGGTGTTTGTCTTTTTTGTCGGAGCTGCCGGCCATCCTTGAAGACACACAGACACCGTTAGATATAATAGATACGTGCTATAAACTATTTCTTCGATTTTCCCCACACAGAGTAGACATGGCCATTGTATAGCCATGTAACATGAAGTACGTTAGATAATACAAACTGTACTTGCGTTCCGTAAGCCGTTGTATTCAGATCGATAAGCGTAGATCAAATCTGCCTGTTTTCATTTACAGCTAAGTAACGTTCGCGCTAATTCGAGGCTAAAAAAAGTGTGATGAGCTATTTTACTTTAGAAAAGGACGCTGTTTTTTCCTTCTTTTTTTTATGAAGCCACTCAAATAGAGCTCGCCCTAAAAACCGTCCATATCCCACCGACGTAGGCCTTTGGAGCCTACGTTGATATAGCCCTCTTCCATTACGATTCGGGCTCTAGACACCTACCAGGGTGACAATAATTAATTCTTTACTACAACATTGGAATAACGAGCACTCTAACGAACTTTTCCATGTTGAGTTTGGACCGTATACATCGTGTGTGTAAAAAATATGAATGTTACACCTATACGTTTTCCATTTTCTAAAAATGGATAAACTATCTTTCGACTACATTGGAGGGAAGGTTACTGAGGACATTTGTATTCATACACAGCCTGGGTTATTATAAAGCGCTTTACTTGACAACCTGGCAAGGTTGACGTACGTGGCAGCTATGTATGTACTAACCGTTTACATTTCAAAGAACATAATAATGTATTTAACATTTTGTGGATTAAATCCGCAATTTTATGGTGGTTCGTAGCAGCAGGTGAGAAGCACTGCATTCTGCTTAGCTTGTACGATACAAGGTACAGGTATTGGAAACGAAATAAAGTTATATACTTGCTGGCTCTGACGAAAAGGATCAGGGTTTTAGCTTTGCTGGCTGCAATATCTTCAATGCAACAAATTCCAGTTTTTTTTATTTTATTCCATTTTAATGCCCATGAGCACTGTGCACACATGTGAGCACATGAGTACAAGTCAGGAAAAAAATGTGAACTATTTTAGGCCTCATCTCATCCTTATCCTATTTCTACGTGTGGAAAATACTTTTGCATTATATTATTTTGTTACATACATTTGTTGCCTCGCTTAATAAGACTCACGCAACTATTGCCCTCTAGGAGTTGCTGTACAGACAACCACATAGAATCCACAATTGCAGTACTTGATCTGAAGGTGTTTCATACACTTTTATATATGTATATGTGTATATGCACCTAGTATAAATAATTTAACAAATCAAACATTTTAAGACTCCCTTCAGACCTCATCTAAAGCAGAAATCTATTGACGTAAATTTAGTACAATGCCGGCAGGTAAAGAAAATATCTCATTATAGCACCTGTAAATAATAAGGTTGTCCTTATTTAATATTCAGGTTTCTCAACACCGTGTGTCGCCCCGTTTTTACTCTTAGTTAGCAGCATTTTTGTTCGCAGTCGATTTCACCGTAAACGTCGTGCCATAGTCGCTCTCACCAAAGATCATGCCCTACCGGCCCAACGTCCGTCTCCATCGACACGCCAGCGTCAGTCGTTTTGCTGGCCTAGATAAACTACAACGTCATCACGATGATCCTCGATTCCCGCCAACGTCAGCACATTTCTCAGTGCCATTAAGCTATGTAAGGAACCTCAGTATTAGCTTTCTTATAGTATTTGTTCCACGCAAAGAACCGAGGTCGCTGTCTAAAATTTTGCTGTGTACGTGTGTACTTTTTCTATCAGTGAGATTTACTATTTTGAAAAATTAGAGGTCATTCAAATGTAGCCAGAGGGTAGAACGCAGTGGGCTTTTAATACAGCCTAAGGGAACGAGGTGAAACGGGGCTGAACGGGGCAGCCTTTATGACCTAGAACGCGAATTCTTTCATACATCGAGGTTTTAAAAGGCCTATAAGAGCACAGAAATGTAAGTATTTGAATCTGCTCTACCCGTATTTGTCGCTTGGTTGTTTTCTATTAAACTGCGATGTTTAGTTAGGATTTTTTGTGTGTATTTTATAATATTATTTTTAGTTGACTCACATCAGAGTGTGGGTACTTACCATCTGAAAGAGCCTATTGAATTGTACGCTTGTGATCATCAAATGGTACAATTAGCACTTGTTAAGCAAACATGCTTGACAAACTTAACTAGTCCATATTAAAAAAGCAAAATTGAAGCTGTGTAATAAAACCATGCGTAATTTTAATTAATTAATGTTAGTTAATTAATTAATTAATTAAACGTAATAAATAAATTAACTAAAACGTAATAACACGCATTCAGCATTTAATTTTTAAATGTCAGCGATCTTCATCTTTCACTTAGGAGTCAAAATGATAAAACTCGTTATAATCACTATTCTATAATAACAACTCACTACGAGTTGTTATTATATATATATTACGAGGGACAGGCGGTATAGGTAATATAATTTGCGTCCCAAACCACCGTAACACAGCATTCACGCTATATTTTTACCCCGGAGGATCTAGCATCGAGTGCGAAATATCTTACGACACACATTTGTCCAATTAAGGATTTAACGATTTAAAAATTTCGATCAGTCCATACTTTTGGAGGTATTATACATTACTCATCCTAGACTTTGTTAATAGACAACCAGAAAATTCTCGCTAAACGTCACGGGAAAGCAGAAAAAAGAAGGCGGATTGTCGCACCATTTTTCTTCCGTTGCTTAGCGCTTAGCAATTAATTCTACTTTGAGGAATGCCCCCTACATGAGATAAATTTCGTTTCAAAGCCATGACTTGGACGAGACTGGATGTCCTGCACTGCCGTAGTCGATTATCTCATTGGCGCACAGCAAATTTGATAGTCATAGTTTTGTTTCAAGACTCTTCTTGCGTCCCGTGTATTTTCCGGTTATCTGGAATATCTTTTTCACAAATGCTGTGTTAAAGGACACTGGTATAACAACCACGTAAAGCGAGATCCCTAGCTAGACGGAACTATTCTAATAGGCCAAGCTGAATTCCGATCCGATCTATTCTTGATCATGCGATCCTATCCAACTAACGGGTTCAAAGCGTATTTTTTTTCTTATCTAACAACATAGTAGTCTTGAACTTGATGCTCCGGACGTACACCATCACTCGTCTGTGTATCTGTGAAGCCCCGATATTGAACGTTGTAATAGGTTAAAGGAGAGAGTTCGTACCTGTGACTTTAAAAAAAGATAGAATATTTAGCGAAAAACGCTGTTTGCTTAATATAGCTTGCTTTGCTCATTGGAGATCTTCAGGTGATTTGAGCCTTGCTTCATCGAATATATTTGGCAAGGAAATATTGTGGAAACCTGTTTTCATGTTCATAACAAATAACAACCAACAAATAGCTTATAATGTACTGTTTATATGTTCTTAGAAGGTAAGGTACTCGTTCTTCTAATACCAGACGGTTAAGAATTGTTTGATGCCATGCCTGGAGGAACTTCGAAAACTTTCAGAATTGCAAACACAGCACTTTGTAAATCACATATTTACAGTATCTAATAGAAACCATATTGAAATTGGCATGGAATACTTCATCCCTTACACAATCAGAGCGTCGTTCGAACTCATTTTGTATCATATCGTTTTGGTTTCCAGCCGTAGATACTTCTTAACATTATAACCAAATGAGCTGATATAATATTTTTTTTTACAGGTGCATATACATAGGAGGCAACTTCTTTTGTTCGCACGATTAGTCCTTTAAAGAAGTACATTACAAACCTCAATCAGTTTTTGTGAAGAGCTCAGAACTTGAACTTATATTAGCCCTGCGAGCTAGGACGTATCCGATTAATTCAGTTTCATACACCGTTTCCGTATTGTGTACACTGCAGTCAATTACAATGCGCCTATTTAATTGCTAACAACAAGAAATGTATTTGTAAGTTTTCCAAAATAACGACGTGACGAAGGTTGGATACCAACATGGGGCCTAAAATAGGCGGGACGGAGGGGATGCTCCGCCATTCGAAGAACTACGAGGAAGATTATGAAAAGCCCGTAGGTCGATTCTGTTTTTTTACATGTCTTCTTCTTGGGATTTGTTTCATCTCTTTGATGGCATATCTCGTGATGATCAGAAAACTTCGAACGCATGTACATTTGGACTATCAACATATGCAGGTGACATCCAGCAAGTGTATCTTTTTGCTGGCTCAACGCCACGAGCAGCTGGGAAAATACGCGTTTCGTACGACGGACTATACAGTCGTACCAAAAGAGCCGTCTGTTTTCTGGACAAATATGGGAGACATATCAATTCGTTCAAAAATTCTTCTCACTGATGCTGGGCAAGGAAAAGGCAACCGAGCTTTCATAATATCGGGGAACGATGCTTCGATCATAGTCGTCATCGACCAGCATTGGAACCGAAGTCCTTCGCCATCGTTCGTTGACGATATTCACAAGGAGATCGGTGGCGAGCAGTCAACTCGAATTTTGACAACAACTGGAAATACGACGTTTATAACGAAATTTTGGCTGCGGCAGGAGCTGTTTTTAGACGGTGATGAAGTAAGATTACGCGCCATTGTCGAAAAAGCCGATGGAGTACGCATAAATCACCCCAATGAATGGAAATCCAACGCGATCATTATAGGACCAATAACGGACAAAATCAAATGGAGACTTTCACTAATAGGTTTAAAAGATGCCGATCATAAGCTTTTTGCAAAGTTTGCCTCGTGCAAGTACAAAGCGCAGACAATGTTCTGAAGTGTAGAACGATTTTCAATGTCCCAAGTCGCAGATTTACCTATATGATATTTCTTCCTTGTATGTACACTGCCATTTGGCTCAATATTTACTCTGGTGCCGTACTAGCGCCAAAATGTCGCGGGACGAAATAAACCAAAAGATTAGTATCGCTAGTACTACCGGCAAGTTAAACGTATGAGCCTTTCCTTCTTCTACATAACACGAATACTACGGCCCACAGTCACTCATTGCTGTTCAGTTCCGTAAGCTCAATATTTTGAGAGCTTATTTTAAAATGAGCACAACATTTGTCTAATAAAGATTACATTGATTTAAAAAGATGAACAATAATAATAATCCTTGCTTCATCATAAGAACGCTCATATATATTTAGTTCGTTGCTAGACACTCCGTATAGTTAGGACGCTCTAAATATCTCAAATCAGATCGTCAAAAATGTTTCAGGTGTGTTGAAATAATGGCATCAATGGTATTGATTTTGGCAACCGAGATTGTTTTCTATATGACCATATATATATATATATATATATATATATATGGTCAGCTCTTACCGATCGATCTTATTCTATGACGAGATGCTCCAAGAACTTGTACACACGTAGGGTGTAAAAATATAATGGTGGCTCAGTCGAGCCAAGAAGCTTTGAGGTTCATGGTCAAATCGACGAAATTTAATGATCCATCGACGCCATCTACCTGTCTGCTATGGCCGTTATAATCTCGCTAGAGTAATATGTATGACACATTTCCATTCGGCCACGCGTCCATCTTCCGATCACATTCTTAAATCGATAGTTTCATAGAAGAAGTTATTAGGGGTCATTTTCCGTGCGCCTGCTTCCTACTTAACTTAGTATCAGCAGTCGATCCGCTGCAATGTAATTGAAACCAACTAAGAAAAAGACGAGAAAACATACCCCCGTGGCGAGGGTAGCGAGTTTCGTCGTCTGTATTAAATGTCATCTAATAGTTCCTTGAAATACTCAGCTCTTAAATTATGAGATGCTCATGGAACTCCTAAAACATATAAGAAAGCGAAGTTTTAAGAAGTGTTATATGAATAATTTGGCCATTTGGTGCACTTACGGCGATGTGTAGTCGAGTTGACGTTAACGGATTATCGGAAATCAGAGACGACAAACCTAACCTGGTATGATGGAATTGAATAATGACTCTGCGAGCATTGACATCAACAAGCTCCGCATCTCGGCACTGTATCGTTGCTTTTTTAGTTGGCCATATTGGCTCGGTGTAACTATAGGCACGTTGATAATTCTTATTGCCACCTTGATCGTCTTACATTCAATGCACGGCAGCCACCTGAAGATCGTCATTGATCCGCAGTCAAGGTTATCACCACCGGCATAAACCACCGAGGCAGGATCAGACACGCCAGCTAGCGCGCTCGTCATTGGATCGCCTTGCTTACACTTCGAAACGAACGGCACACAGAAGGAATGAGGCTCGAGATCAACAAGTAAAATAAAATTTAATATACGCCTGGACAGATCGACCTTCGAATCTGAGGCCTTAGGTTCGGTGCTTTTCCAAACCCCATCGTGACAGTATCTGATATTCATTCAGTAATTGGATAAAGTACTCTGTGGTCTTCTATTAGCCAACTATGACATAGGTTTCTTAACGGGACCTTCCCTCAATGTGTTTCCTTGAAATTCTTTCATAAAAAACACATAGCACATTTACGAAAAGATGCCTGCTCCTTATTAAGTATTAAGACCTTTGAAAACAAACTATGCGTTCTAGTAGTATAGTGACAATACATCTGCGGTAGAAGCTAGTAAATAAGTGTAATAGTAACTGCCTAAGTTTCGAGGCTAGGTTACACAAGCCTTTTTCTGATGTACTGCTGCTTTCACGTCTCGCGTCGGCATAAGCATGCGTAACACTTGGGCAAATATCTGCGCGTCCCTGTGGCAAATTAACTCTGTGAAACGCAATAGCGTCTTACGAGGATCTATAACCCTTGTGTCACTGGGTCTCCAAACGACGCATAAGCTGGTTCAGTTGAATAAATGACCTTGCTGCATCGGCAAACTACCATACGAATTGCACAAAAGGTAAAACGTTGTGGGAAAAAAGCTTTTTTCGTCTTCTCATTCGTACAGATTTATTTTTTGCCAAAGATATCGGCGTTATACGAGGTCTTGCTGGCACAATTGCTAATTAAATGACAGCACAAGTAGGCGCCCCCGGCACAGTTCCTAAACTTATTATCCAACTTAGGACTCTCCATCGAAAAAATGGCGAACTCAATATATAGGATCCTGACTCTGCGCACAGTAACGTGCATCTGTGCATTCAGCAACGCCCGTACGACGTGCAAATTTGGATCATTATTAGACGGTAATGGATCTTCCATTCGCTGGTTAACTCCCATTGGATTTCGCTGACTTTGCAAAAATCCCAATAACATTCTGATTGTTACCATCTCCTACTTTCGCCGCTCCCTCTCCCCCTCTGTCTCTCTCCCTCTCTCAACCTTCTCGCTGTTTGCCTGACTTAGGCTTCATTTAATAGCGGTGCTTTACGAGATTACCGTGTTCTTTACCAAGTTCACCACTCATAGACATTAAATGAAACAAATTCACGAGAATCCTCCGATATCGCATTTTTTTCTTAGAAAATATAGTCAGAAAATGAATATATAAAATTAACTCTTTGACTCCAACTAGTGATTCAGGTTGAAAATCTATTTCATTCTGGAAAAATGGGTGCTTTGGCACTTTTGATTAGCAGGTAATCTGCTGTTTACATACACACAGCATGGAAATCGTACAAGCCTAGGTGCACACTAACTACAGAGCGAATCATGAGGCATTTTTTAAGGCATCAAGGACAAGCTCTGCTCAAAACTGAATTATTTTATTTCATCTTTTAGCATAAGTTGGATTTAGACACGTCGAAATGCTTTTAATACTATTTTTTTTCCAGGTTATCGGACTTCACTAGTTTATAGCTGGTTAAATCGCGCATGAAACGCAGCTTTGATTTGAACTAAAATAAAAAAAATGTCATTTGGTATATAATCGCTCGATCTATGTACAGTTCATCAGCCATAGACGCTGCAGATATTACGCTAAAGACTGTAAACAACAAAGCTACGCAGATATGCCCGAGACCGCAAATCAACCTTTAATGGGCGATGAGGGCAGTCGGTATAGTGTAGCTGCGAGTCTCGAGAAGCTCCGCAGCCGGCCGTGGGTACGTTATGCGGTTATCGGAATCCTGGCTGCCCTTGCTATTGGTATTGTTACGCTATTCAGTTTCAAGTTCCATCATCTGAAGAAAGTTGCTCCTATCCAGGTAAACAACAAAAACCTCGGACGAACGGTGCCCGGAGAGGGTTTGCATTTCACAGTGGGTCGACCACATGTCTAGTACGAAACAGCATCTAGCGTTGTAGTGGATGATCAGTGTAGTGGGCGTTGATATATAAGCCACTAAGTGATCAATTTGGCCTATTTGCCTGGCGTGACTTTACAAGCACGAGACAGTTCTAGTGACCGCCGAATGCATTTCGCAAGCTTCCAAGATTTTAATAACAAACAAAAAAACCGAATAAAATAATTGATTTGGATTCAACTTGCTGCTGCTGCTGCTGTTGTTGTTGTTAGTTATCCAAAAAAGGGTTCTACAAGAAAGAGCCAGTTTTTACATGTAAATATATAGAACCCCGACCGAGCCAGTTTTTATGTAAATATATAGAACCCGTCGCGCTAGTCCCAATTTGAAAATAGAAAAGGTTCTACAAGAAAGAGCCTGCAAATATATAGAACCCTTTAGAACCCTTCGTGACTGAACCCCTCGTGCCAGCTCCAGTTCCTACATGCACGTCTATAGAACCCTTTCGAATAGAACCCTTCGTGCCAGAACCCCTCGTGCCAGTTCCAGTTCCTACATGCACGTTTATAGAACCCTTTCGAATAGAACCCTTCGTGCCAGAACCCCTCGTGCCAGTTCCAGTTCCTACATGCACGTTTATAGAACCCTTTCGAATAGAACCCTTCGTGCCAGAACCCCTCGTGCCAGTTCCAGTTCCTACATGCACGTTTATAGAACCCTTTCGAATAGAACCCTTCGTGCCAGAACCCCTCGTGCCAGTTCCAGTTCCTACATGCACGTTTATAGAACCCTTTCGAATAGAACCCTTCGTGCCAGAACCCCTCGTGCCAGTTCCAGTTCCTACATGCACGTTACTTTGATTGACATTTGTCAAAGCAGCTCCCGAGGCCGATGTGGACACAAAAAAAAATATTAGTGGACCGAACCCGGAGCCAAATAATTAACATGTGAATTTTAAAAACCGCCACGCGATCCACCTGCGCTACTGTGATCGGTGTTTGCAAATCTGTAGCATTATAATGTCATATACGTAAAATGTAAATTATTCCCTATGGTGAATAAGCCGCCCGAAGTCGATAATTTTAGAACTTACCGTTTAAGGGTCTGAGCTTCACATCCGATGAAGTAATCAATCTAAGTAAAAGTCTTACTTAAGTAACTATTCCCATTTCCCCTAACTTTGCCATGTCTCGATTTCATTAGTAACTAGGTACTTTTTAAAAAAAAAGGTTTGTTTTCGTCTGCGGTACGCAGCATACGCTATTAATGCACAACATTACTGCTAACTCAGTACAACCTTTTATCCTGCATAACGTAAGCGCATTTTCATCACTATTATTATTATTATTTTTAGTACTGTGATTAATGGCTCTGATTTATCTCGGCTGGCTTTGAACAAAGTACGCAGTAACTTAGCAATATGCCTAAAAAGTAAGTATAATATATTGACGGTAAGTTATACTTAGATGGCTAACTACAGGCACAATATAAACTATCTGATCAAGCTACCGCTATTGTCATGTTCAAAAAAATTAATTAGGTATACACCAGAGTAACGTTCTTTTCTAACGTTGTCAGGGGCATTCGTACTTATGCACAAATAGAAGAAGCTCAAAGCTGTACACTAAATACGATGTGGTGCCTTCGTGCCTCAATGTGGTGCCTCGAGAAGGACACCAACGGCATCAAGAACGCCATTTCAATTTTTCCTATTCGACCTGTATCAGCTGTACTACGAAATGATTTATATATCCAATAAGGCGCTCAACATCTCTTTGATATAAAACGAAAGAACAACAAAGCGGAATTACGATGACAGGCGAAAATCGAATGTATAGTAGCGAAGACAAGGGAGGATACAGTCTGCAACATCTGCATGGACTCCGCCAGAGGAAAGGCTTGCATGCATTTGTCATCGCAGTATTAA